GGGTTTAGGGTTTAGGGAGCCCTTCATCCCAGAAGCGACGGTGTGTGCTTTCCATGTTTTGGGGAGGCCCACATGACTGGGGCGAAGACCTTGAAGAGCAGCAACGGGGAACATAAAGACAACAATCCGATGACACCCGCCCATGATAGTGAGTGTATTGAACAAGGCAAGTCCATAGTATTTATGATAGGAGCAACAGTTGTGATGATACCTGTTGCAACGCCGGCTCAAGTGCCCGGAGCAGGTTAGCGCCAGGGGCTATCGTTGCCACCGACCGGGGCTGTGCGTGCAGGGTGCAGGGGCCCAGGGCTTGGGGTTTTGGGCATCCGGCTTTGGTTTTTGAGTAGGGGGTTGCGGGATTGCGATGCTTTTCCAATGCCGCTCCTCCGAGATGGAGACCCCTCTGGAGGTGGGGGATGCTAGCAGCAAGCAAGGAATTGCAGAGAGCGGGCTTACTCGGTATTTGCGAATGTTATGATAATTCTTTTACAGTGTACAGTATACTCAGTATACAGTATACTGTATTCTCCTCGAAAATCTCCATTTTCTCAAGTCCACAAGTTTGATATCTTTAGGAACTTCAGCGTGATTCTTGCCCTGTCGGAGAGACGACGATCCCACGGTCGGGCCCCCTATGGCCTAAATAGTTACCAATATTAGTTTGGGGCTCCTTTGTTTTAAATATAGCACAGTAGATCACAGTAGAGTTAAGGCCCCTTAAACCCTAAACCCTGTATTGAGAATGGCAGGTGTTTGCACGAAGCCTCGGCCAGAAGGAGGAGGAAGCCACGGCGACGCCCGAGCAACTCTTCGGTATGTACGTGCTTCCGGTGGATGCACTGCTGAAGATGACGGAGCTGAAGCCGCATGAAAAGCTGATGCTGGATGGTGTCTTGGTGGAGTTCGACGACAGCAAGGGCAACGCCATGTTCGTGTCACATCAGTGGGCTGGAGTGGACCATCCAGATCCGGAGCTTCAGCAATTCAAAGTTCTACAAAAGGCACTGAAGAACGCCATGTCGGGAGCTTCCGTGATCTCGGGCAACATCAGTATCGAGCTCTACACCGGACAGCAGACGTGCGTTTCTGCGAAGGACCTGTCTTCGAAGCCGCTGTTCGTATGGTATGACTTCATCTCCTGTCTTTTGGCTACTTTCTGATTGAATTTTGTAGCATTCGACAGGTCCCGCATGTTCTTGACCATCAAGGATTTGCCCTGAACTCTGCGTCAGGTAAGGTTGCTCATATAGACTCTATATCCTCGTTGTAGGATCGCGCTTTAGGGTTTCTATTCGGCTTTGTGGTGAGTTAAATTCGTCAGGGCTTCACAGCCTAAGCCCCTAAACCCTAAACCCTAAACCCTAAACCCTAAACCCTAAACCCAAAATGGCTACGGCTCAAGCATCTGGCCCAAACCTTTCTTGCCTGTTGCCCTCCGCTCCTTTCTCTCTCTTCTGCCC